GCCCAGCTGTGATGATTTTTTAAGTTAAATGATAATAATAATAATAATAATAATAATAATAATAATAATAATAATAATAATAATAATAATAATATTTTTTTATTTAATTTTAAGTTAAAAAAGAAATTAATCGCCCAGACTGTGCCATTAACTGTGCCAGACTGTGTACTGTAATCAGCAATGAAAGTTGATGCGGCCGGACAACAGTAAGTTGACAACAAAAACATATTTAAGTCTGCTGTCAAGCATTGTATATCCTGTTTCACATTTTATAGTGTCTAAGACACTAGGACCAACCCAAGTTGTTAGTTTGTTTTTCGTTTTCATACAGTCAAAACGTTATTATTTACGTCTGTCGACAGTCCCTGTGGAGGGACTGTGGTCTGTCATAAACGTCCTTTTTTTCTTTTGAATATAGTGTCCAGCTTGGCGGTCAGTTCAACGGTTCAATTTGATTTCAACGAAAACTCTGCCAGTGGCGAGATTTATCTGCATATTATACTAGAACGTTATATATGTAATGCTGTCTTTGGAAGTACTGTTTTGAACTTTTTGATTTGGTCTTCCTCATATGGATGATCTAGCTTTTCCTCGGCATAGCAATCGGCGTGAAAAGGGTTTACGACAGAGCAACTAATTTGCATATTTAGTAAAGGATTGTGGCGATTACGTAATCTTGCTTCTGCTGCTGGTATTGTCGCCACATCAATTTGGACATTGGCCAAAAAAGGAAAGGTGTACTCTGGGAAATACAGTTTAAAAAACGATTTATTTTTACCATAATTTACACGGTCATAACATAATGTGCAAACACATGTACACACATGCCCGTTACCTTTGACACCATTGTAGCATCGATTGTTTTAATCGGCCTCTGTTCAGGGACAGTGCACGAACATCGAATACGAGTCAGAACAATACACGTGTATATACAAAATGCGAACAATGTAAATATAGATAAAATAATATCAGAAAAACTAAAAACAAAGTTTGAAAAAAATTGTCAACAGATTTTAGACAATGATAACAAAGGGAAAAATCACAAAAATAAATTGCGCACTTACAGAGAACTGAAAACAAACTTTGAAAACTACTTACACGTAGTCAAAAATACTCATCACAGGTCATCAATGACAAAATTGAGGATTACTGCTCACACACTACAAACAGAGACTGGGAGATATAACAACACAGATATATCTGACAGAAAATGTCTATGTTGTGAAAATAACGCCATAGAGGACGAAGAACATTTTCTTTTAACATGTGATCTCTACGCGGGAGGAAGAAAAAAACTTTATCAGCTGTTATCACCCCAACAAAAATTAAAATATATTTTAAATAATGAAGATGAGAAAATAATATTACAAATAGCAAAATACATAGAGAACGGCTTCAAAACAAGAGAGGAAAAACTGAAAACATGATTATAGTCAACTATCTCAAGATAAGGTCATGTACATGCAATAGTAATCTAAACATTCACCAACACAAATGTGGAAAACAATCCAATTTACTTTAATTTAATTCTACTTTTATTTGCTAGTTTTTTTTTTTTTACTTATTTAATTATTTTTTTTTTATTTTTTTTTATTTTCCTGTGTGTATTTTTATTCTCACTTTATTTGTTTGTTTGTCTTTATTCACATCTATATTACATTTTAGTCAAAATCCTAATAGGGTTACAAACGCAATAAAGATTTTTATTATTACACAGTGTGTGATTTCGATATTGTATTGCCAACTCCAAGTATTTGATTTTCAGGACAATACCACTGTATAGATAGAGGAACTGTGAACTGTACAGTACTTACAGAATGAATGTATCTCCATGCTAACAGTATTACATTGTAGTTTCCGGCGTCGTCTAAAACACGTAGGTGATATATCAAATTTATTTTCCGCGCACGTAAATTCTTTTTATCCATGTCTAGTGGCGATTCGTTAAGAATTGTGGATCGGACACTGTTTGAAATGACTTCAAAA